TGATGAAGATCCTAGTCAATTTGTCCAGCTCCTCGTCCCAAAAATCTGCATCCGTCAGGCGAAGGCTTCGAATGATTATGCTCCTCATTATTCCAATCTTTTATACATTTGCTGCTTTTTTATTGTATACGTGTGTGTATTAGCGTCTATACACAATACCGGACCTAAATAAGCATTATCGCAAGGTTAAATTTAGGCTTTGATCATCAAGGCCTAATACCCTCAACGAAAAATAAATAGAAGAGACAAGGTCTAAAGTCTTGTGAAGGTTAGAATCTCATACATGATTATTACCTTATTGTAAATCCCTGAGTATGCATTTAACAGGGATTGGAATCGAGAGTGTATAGGACGCCAGATCTAGACAGTGATTTAACTGTGTAGCAGATGAAGGTGACAATGGCTAAATAACATTGCGGAAAGGTTGCCAGAAGCCCTGCTAACTCCAACCAAAACAGATGGGGACGTTGTACTTCTAGGCTAAATGTTATGGGGAGATAAATGGGCCACATGAATTTGGGCGTAGGATTGGGAAAGTAGGTTCCACATTATTTCATATAAAAATAGTTCAAAAGATTGCACGGGATTGTCGGGACAAATGCAGCTGTAATAAATTCACGAATTTATACTTATTTTAAAATACTATATGATTTAAGTTGAATTGATTACAATAGATACTTTTATCACTGAAATATTTCCGTTGTATTTAAAATGTTTTGAATTCCAAAGAATGAATTTATGTATAGCTTTTAAAATCGAAAGCCAATAGACTAAGTTTTGAATAAATTTAAACTATTGTTAAATAAAAATTTTAATGTGAATTTAAAATTCTTAGAAAAGCGTACTTTCTACATTGCTATCCAAGATTTGTATTACACAATTCATGGTTCTACCTAATTGCGTTTCACTTGCCCAACTAACATTGTCTTGACGGTTGTCACCCTTATCATTAAAGTTGTCTCCAAATTTGTATAATAAATGTTATTTTTAAACCTGTTTTCATAGAGTTCTTTCGCTATTATTACCATCGAGGATCATTATATTCTTTTAGCACTGAAACATATTTGAGATATCATTAAATAAATTTATTATTTGATAAATATTTTAAACACAAGTGTAAATAATTATAACCAATATTCGCTAGTAAGACGTATATTTTGAGTTAGACCCCGTTAATTAAATTTGGCGTCCCTTATTTATTTGTGATGTCTGCGATGGATGTTGATGATGTCACTCCTTCCACCGTCTCCGTAGCACAGAAAAAGCGTTTTGAAATTAAGAAATGGAATGCAGTTGCTCTTTGGGCATGGGATATTGTCGTAGATAATTGCGCTATATGCCGAAACCATATTATGGATCTTTGTAATGTTCAACCCGAACTTATAATCATTATAAGGTATAGAATGCCAAGCAAACCACGCTTCTGCCACAAGTGAGGAATGTACTGTTGCGTGGGGTCTTTGCAATGTAGATCTTATTTTAACACTTAGCAATATAGCATGCGTTTCACTTTCACTGTATTTCTCGCTGGCTAAAAACACGTCAAGTCTGTCCACTAGATAATAGAGAATGGGAATTTCAAAAGTAAGCCTTTATAAATATATAGCCTTTCCCTAGATATGGTCACTGATCTGTGGTCTTTCTTTAAACTATTTTCATTGTTTGCTATCCAATAAACGTTTTAATCACGTCCTTCTTCTATTTTTAAAGTCTATAAATACCATACTCATAATGTCTTTTAGTTCAGCATGGGCAACATTTGCCCATGTATCTGTCCCAAAAAAGCTGACGTTTCTTCTGTAAGTTATTTAATCGCATTTTCTTAATTTTTAAATTCTTTTGTTAATATAGCCAAATTAATCTAGCTGGATGCTGTAGACAATGAACAAATGCTCATTACACCAAGAGCCTCAATTGATGCATATACCAATAACATATCTAGGTATGCTTCGCGTCTTCAAATTCTTGTATTACTTGATCCAAACATAAATTACTTATCTACACCTACATAGCCTTATTTCGACAAATTGCATTTTGAATGACGATGCCGGTGACCTCGATGCTTTGATGACTGATATAATCAAGGGTGTAGAGAAGTAAGTCGGCAACATTATGCTATCATATATCCTATTTAGCTTCTACCAATCTTTTTGATTTTGTATTTGATTGTTAACCTTTCTAGCCAAATCGTTGATGCTGGAGCAAATGACGCTAATATTCTTGATCTCCGAGAAAG